TATTCAAGAGGTCTTGAGTTCGAATTCTTTTTTGCTAATAAGGATAATCATTGGAGCTAGAGGTGTTCAAAACTTCAGTTAACCAGTTTTGTGAATCGAACCGGTTTTTTTATTTAGGAATTTTCCTTAATCAAAACCAAACTGGTTAACCGGTTTTAATTTAATATTTTATAATAAATTGGATTTTTTAATTTTAATTTAATATATTTATAATAAACCGGTTTAGAAAACCGTTACAGTTAGCCAATTCTCATATTCTCATAAACGGGTAACCGAACTGAAAAATCGGTTTTTATATTTCTTTGAACCGAAACCGAACTAGTTTTTCCAAAAACTGGTTGGTTCGATTTCTGCAATTTTTGTTAACAGTCCTAACTGGAGTTCTTACTCGACCGATAATTTTAGGGTTTCAGGGGATTACTTGATGTGTGCGTAAATTCGTTCGGGACACTCTTGGTCATTAAAAAAAAAAAAATTGCGATTATTTGGGTTTCAATAGCCTTAAATGTTACTAATTTTAATATGAGTAATGCTAGTTTTACAAAAACACATACAAATAGGGCATACAAAGACAATCCCCACTCTTGATTTTCATGATTTATCTCTCTCTTTTTTTTTGTTTTTTTCTTTATTTTTATTTTTTATTTATTTCACTTTGTAACTCTCTTTATATGAGTCTTTGTAGTGATAACATTTTTCTTTTAATATTTACAAACTGATAAAGACAGTTTATTACAAAACAGAAATGGATTCCGAATTCTAATCCAACTAACATTCAAAACCGACAGGTCATCCCCTCTATTCCTGGACTCCCGAAACTACACGACAATTGAACTCCACAACCCAATCCCATTACTAGTCCAACAAGCCAAGCAACCCACCACTCCCACTCTTCCACGTGTCATCTTCCTATTTGTCCACCCCTTTCCCCTTACCTAAGTAACCACCTTCCCCTTCCCCTCTCACGACTGTTAGTTTTTTTCAGCCCTTTATACAAAAAAAATATATATTTTATATAATTATTAAATAATATATCTTACTTTTTATTTATATAAATAGCTTTCCCCTCTCTTTGGATCTTCATTATTTGTTGTTGTTCTCTAAAACATGGATGTCAAAGCGGTGTCGTTTTTGGTCGTCTTTTCTCTCCTCTTTATCTCGGCTATTTCGGCCGATAACTTCTCCGACGATCAGGTGATCCAGCAAGTTACGGACGGCGCCGATGAGCTCTTGGGAGCCGAGCATCACTTTGCGCTCTTCAAGAGAAAGTTCGGGAAATCTTACGCTTCTCGGGAGGAACACGACCACAGGTTCAGCGTGTTTAAGCGAAACCTGAGACGTGCCGCGCGTCACCAGAAGCTCGACCCGACCGCCAGTCACGGTGTGACTCAGTTCTCCGATTTGACTCCATGTGAGTTCCGAAGGACTTATCTCGGTTTGAGGAAGTTGAGGCTGCCTAAGGACGCGAATGAAGCACCGATTTTGCCGACTAAAGATTTGCCTGAGGATTTTGATTGGAGAGAGAAAGGAGCTGTGACGCCTGTCAAAAATCAGGTTTTTATTTTATTTGATTTTTTCTTTGTCTGTTTCATTGTAATATTTAATATTTTTATTTTGTTTATATTAGTGGATTTGGTGTTTATTAGGATTTTTTTAACTAAATAATTAGAGAGCAGGAGGTTGACTTTCTGATCTTCGTTTTTATGTACTGATTTAGGATATGGTAATTTGTTAAATGCTCTCCATTAAGATAAGATTTGTAATAATATTTATAAATTCGATGTTTTATAGTAATATTTATTATTGTTATTTCGTTTATATTACCGTATTTGGTGTTTGTTAGGATTATGATTATTTTAAGTAAATAATTAGAGGGCAGGAAGTTGATTTTTTGATCTGGGTTTTTATTTACTGGTTTTGAATATAGTAATTTGTTAGATGCGCTTTATTATGGTAAAATTTATAACATTTTCTTATATTGAAAGAGAGGTTTCAGTGTGTTTGAGGAGGTGACTTATTAATAAATTTTTTTCCTTTTTAGTATTTGTTTTCATATTAAGCTCTTGCTTGATAGGGTTGACTTTGATATTCTTTTAATTGATCTTTTATTGGAGATTATTTCTCAGTGGTGCTTATTTTGAATGCAATTGTGATGAATTATGTATTAATGATGATTGTGTTTGGGATTGATTAGGGTTCATGTGGATCATGCTGGAGTTTCAGTACTACAGGAGCTTTGGAAGGTGCTAACTACCTTGCAACTGGAAACCTTGTTAGCCTTAGTGAGCAACAGCTTGTGGATTGTGATCACGAGGTTTGATTCATTTTTGCCTCATCTTTTTATTGCTCTATTTGCATTTGTGAAGAAGACTTGTGTTATATAGTTTGTGGTAGATATTGTTGTGCATATGGCATATTGTGACATTGTGTTACACTGGCTTATTCTTCATCCCCCTTGAACCTGCTTTTATTATTTCTCGATGGTGGGTATGACTAAGATTCCTCAAGGATTGCAAGATATCTAATTTCTCTTGGAACTAATCCTCAACGAAGGGAGCACCTGTTCTGCTAAAGAAGCCTGGTTCAATGTGGTTGGGCTGGAAGTTCAATTTCTTTTTCTTTAGTGGTTCCTTTTTTACTAGGTCAGGGGCACTGCAGAACATGCTCTTTGTTTCCTGCAGTACTGTGTCTAATGCCCTTTTGATTCTGTTGTGTGATTGTATAGAGTTATCTTGCCATGAATCCTCTGTTTAACCCTTTGTGATTCCACCGTATTAGGCCACAGTTATATAAGCTCATCTGATGCCCATTTGTTGTTTAAATTGGTGCAGTTTAATGTGTTCATCAACTTTTGCTCACATACATGTTTCAATGCGATAAGCTTGTATATTTAAGTGACTCATTAAGCTTAGATTATATTGACTCTTCTAATTGATCTGCAGTGTGATCCAGAGGAGCAAGGTGCTTGTGATTCTGGATGCAGTGGTGGGCTCATGAATATTGCCTTTGAGTACACACTCAAAGCTGGTGGACTTATGCGAGAGGAAGACTATCCTTACACTGGTACTGACCGTAGCACCTGCAAATTTGACAAGACTAAGATTGCTGCCAAAGTGTCCAACTTCAGTGTTGTCTCTCTCGACGAGGATCAGATTGCTGCCAATCTCGTGAAAAATGGTCCTCTTGCAGGTAATCAACTGTTATAGCTTACAGTTATATGTCTCAAGGAATTTTTCTTTGTTGCCTATCGTTTTACGGTAATGGTTAATGGCTGTATTTCTCATAACTTTACCTTCATGTGAATGCAGTGGCCATCAATGCTGTGTTCATGCAAACATACATAGGAGGCGTTTCATGCCCATACATTTGCTCAAAGCGTTTGGATCACGGGGTGTTGCTTGTGGGGTACGGTTCAGCTGGCTATGCTCCAGTCAGGATGAAGGAGAAGCCATACTGGATCATTAAGAATTCATGGGGAGAAAACTGGGGAGAGAATGGTTTCTACAAAATCTGCAGAGGTCGCAACATTTGTGGAGTCGACTCCATGGTATCGACTGTTGCTGCTGCTGTTCGTGCCGACTCTGAGTAGTAGGCTACAAACATTTCTGATTTGTATATAAGTTGGTTTAATTCCATTTGGGAAAAAACTTGATTCAACTTTTTAGCTTTTGTCATATTCCCATCAAAGCATAAGATTGAAATTCTTTATGCGATTGGGTTGCTCAAACTATTTAGAGTGTTTTATTTATGACATCTACTGCATCTTCATCTGTCTTTATTGTAAGAATGCTGTATTATCTGGATTTAACTAAATATATGAAACACATGATAGCAAGTCACTGCTATGCTTTAAATAAAAAAGCATTTTATTTGTATGCCTCGTTTTGATTCTGAATACCCAAAGTGTAGTAGGTGGCCGTGGCTCGTGTAAATAATTACAGTTATATTAATTATTTACCATTTCAGCCTTGTCATAGTATGGCATTACTATTTGTGTTTAGAATAATCAAATATAATCTTATAAACTAGATTTTTATTACTTTTATTTTTATACATACATTTGGAAGTATCCTTACTAATAATGTTTCTTGATGACATTCAAATCCTTATTTTCAAAGAATAATTTCTGGGTTTTTTATTTAAAAACCGGTTAACTAGTTTAGAGAACCCGTAATTTAGTTCGGTTTAAACCGATTCAAGCAGTAAATCGACTTGGCTTTGATTCAAATTTTTGCTTGAACTAGTTGTTCGATTGATTTGAAAAAAAATAATGCTACATCCACAACTTTTTTTCATAAACTTTCTCACAATCTCGATGTGATAGCTCGTAATTTATCAGTTTATAATATATCTCACCTGATAAATAAATTACAGTTGACCAATTATGAACTATCATATTAAGATTGTAAAAAAAAAATTGTAAAAAGAAATTGTGAGTATGACATTACTCGTTGAAAAATGATCGATTTTTCCCACAATAAAGCTACAATTACCAAAAAGAACACATCGAATTCATGCATCAAATGACGTGACATAATCCTAACCGTCGATTAATTATAAATTAATATTAATCAACAGTCAAAATTTCACCATATTATTCGACGGATGAATTCAGTACACTCCTTTTAATAACACTATTATTTTCCTTTTTTCCCACGGAGCTTCTATACATAAGGATCATTTTATTCTTCGCTCTGGCCCACTGGAATCAAACCGAAAGTGCAAACTATCTTATTGTTCAATCGACTTAGCCCGCAAGATTCCAAACCGAAAGAGCACAATCATCTTTTATTGTTCACTTTTGGGACACAAGATTCCCGTATAGTTCTATAATACATTAGCACATAAATAAAAATGAACAATAAAATCATCTTCACGCACAAAATCTATATATACCAAAATCACATTTAATTAATTATTTATTCACACCATAAGATTAAGTTTTTTATGATATTTTTATTTTTATTTACTTTTTAGTTTATATAAATAAAATGGCTGAATAAATCAAATATGCAATTGTTATACATGGCACTAACTGGGCTACCACATACAATGCCGCTGGCCTAATAAGGAAACTGCTTATTCCTGCCAATAACAAATAAACAGCCATTAGAAAGGGGCAGTGCTCGCACTGTCGAAAGCTCCCTCCAATTCCTTGTACATGATTCATGTCGATCGATCTTTTTTATCAATGTTTAAATGAAAAAATCAACACAGATCCATAGCTATGCACACTCTTTAACTCCATAAACTTCCGACAGAAACAACCGTTATTTGATGGAGCGGATCATTCATCTTCATCGCCGAACAAAGCAAACGAAAATGGATAGAATTTGTAACCGTCTCCCTCGTAGAATTTGTTCTGGAATTCCACCCAGTGAAGACGCAAAGCATGAAGGAAAGCACTAAGAGTTTCCATCACTAGCAACACACCAACAGTTGCAAAAATAAAGACGATGATGCCAACAATAAGGATAATTACATTGTTGAACCTGTACAAGAAATTAACATAATGTTATCAAACCATATTATATATATATTCAACATCCTCTTGGTTGCTTAAGCTTGAATCCGTACCTGTCTAATTGAGGGTAATAATCCAGAGAGGTAAATGAAAACATTAAGAAAATTGAAGGTCTCAAGATGAATTCCAGAAAACAAGTACGATTTTCCAAGACATTTAACTTGGTCGATTGTTCTAAATTTAATGAAAGTATTATCTTAAACCGAACTACTGTTATTGTTATCTATTGGTGTAGTTACAATAATATTATTGTTAATCATTCTCATAACCTGCTGCTATTTTTGACAAATAAATAAATAAATAAAGCAGTATTTAACAAACGAATTGACTTACCCCCAAGCGAGCATGAGGACCTTCTCATAGAATACACTTGACAGTTCTGAGTGGGCAAGACTGCAGAGGGTAAATAAGAACACGGAAAAAAAAAAAATACGTAATTAGCCTCCATTAACAGAAACAGCTCCAATTGCACAAAAAGATAATTATTATAGTTATGATATTCAATGAAGTGACTATAGTCTATCAAGTGGAATAAGGTGGAAGTTAGTGCATTATCATATGGGCACTTAAGATAGGGGTATCTGCACATACACATAAAAGGTTGAACTGATTTCTACTGTATTCAACCTCCATTAAGACATGGAAATATTATTCTAATTTAACAAAGACAATTGACAAATTGATCTTGCAATTACATACCTCAAAGCCCATAAACGAAGGTATGAAGCTGTGTTTGAAACTGCTCCAAGTACAAACTCGATGGTGTGGATGAGTTGATGTACAAAAACTTCACTGAACTCAAATTCTTCATGACCATGGGAATCATGGTTAGCTTCTGGTTGAAGAGAATCGTCGTCAGTGGTCTGAAGTAATGCATATGATTCGCTTTGGTGCCTCTGAATAAACATAACTATCAGAAGTGGAGCAAAAAGAAAAGACAAGAAATCTCTAAAACATATAAAAGGAATCAGGAAGAAGAAATCCTCCGGCTTACCTCTTCATGTTGCTTTTTCAAAAGAAAAGGCTTTGGAATCAGCATCCATGGTACAGAAACAAGAGCCAGCAATAACAACACTAACTGAAAATATAAATGCACAAGATCAATAAGTGGGATTCCAAATATGCATGGGAAAAATCTTGAAAAGGGAGAAAGAGCCTACCTGAGTTGTTTTTTGTCCAGGAAAAAGCTGGTTTTCCCCCAACTCGTCAGTAGGACTCAGGAACATGTATATCATAACGTGATATAAATCAGCTTTTGAACCAGTGCACCACTTCACAATGATAAGGAGCGATAGATAGCCAAACAAGCTGTTTAAAAATATTAACTGTGGAATAAACTGAAACCTGGAATAATGCACAAAAAAAATACCATCTTTTAGTTGTACACCACAAATCACTCTGAAAGCTCAGGAAGAGCATAGAAGCCACTGAACCAAGCTGAGAACCAGACTAGCATATCAAACTTACCAGATGTTCACGCCGTTTTTGAAGAACTTTGCATTGAAATAACTCAATATGATTCCAAGGTCCATCTGGGCCACCCCAAGAAGAATTGACATTTTCATCTTCAAAGAGTTGAGAAAGGGCAGCTCACTTCGGGAACCATGCCATACCGGATCTACACCAAATGGGTAAGCTTCACGTACTTTAATTAAACCAGCAGTAGTAGCATCCCTGCCAAAGAAGTACGCAAAATACTGTCACTATCAGCACAAGAATATAAATAGCATATATTTTAGTGGGAAAATTTTACAACATTATGTACCAAAAGGTGTTAGTCAGATACCTGCAAGAGAGATCTCTGCACGCATATGCTGAGGGACCAAATAATTCAAATGGGACTGAGAAGAACTCATTATAGACCAAGCCAGTGTAAATTGAGAACAGCGCCATCATTAGAATGACATAACGGCCACCAAATGTCATTTCTGTGATATCTCCAAGCTTCTGTAGTTTACAAAATTGTAATTTTACAATGCATAGGGATAATGTATACTGGAAAAATAAAACAAAAAAACTGCCAAGCAAAAGATGAAAAAATAATTAAGCAATGAGATTACCTGGCCTGAAAGTTTCTTCTCCCTGATTATAAAAACTAAGGTTGCAAGTAACAAACATATTCCATGTCCCCAATCACCAAACATGACAGCGAAAAGAAAGGGGAATGTGACAATAGTGTATACACCAGGATTTGCTTCTTGATACTTGGCCACCCTGCAATTGCATGTCATCACGGAATTTAATCCCTATTAATTTGATCTCATTTGGCAACTAAATATACAAAAGAAAAAAAAAAAAAAATGAACATACAATTATTATATAAGTTCACATCAGCCACATGCACACGGAGTGTCTGCATAATAAATACACATACAAACACAATACCCAGAAAGAAATCCATAGGATAATTATCTCCGGAAAAAGATTGAACTGAGACTATTAAGATGAGAATGCATATAAGATTCTATTAAGAGTATACTAAATATCCTCTACACTTCATATAAATCAGAAACTCATAGTACTTAAATATGCAAACACACAATGAAGACTGTCCCCTTAGACTTCAGCATAGACCAGGAACTATTTTTCGGGAGCTTACTCTAAGTGTACCGACTGTTCTACAGCTTAACCTTTCTATGACATGTACTCCCACAATAATATTATAGAACAAAAGTAGGAGCTCCAATTGCAATATTCCACAAAGAGGCTGAGATGAGAAATATATATAGCCTTGAAATTTGAAGGAATCCTGCCCAAAAACTTTATTTATTTGTGGTTTTTCGTCTTTTTCAGGAGTTGTTGGCTAATTTGGACAAGTTATTATCCGATGGGGTTGCAAGATATTTCTCAACAGATGTTATGATCATTGAACATTGCAGAAGCTTTAAGGCCAAAGGAAGTCCTCTGTTGCATCTTGTCACAAGCCCAACAGGAACGTGCTGGACCTGATGTGAAGACAAAGTCTCACTTCCTCATCCAGCAGTAGTTCACAAGAGACCTATGACCTCATGCTTGGTACTTTTTGGGTTTTTTTATTTTTTATTTCCTTAGTGGACAATTCCCCAATAAATGGTATCAAGAAGGTGAAATAGATTCCTTCATTTGGGGCGAGCTAGGAGTTTATATACTATTGTTGGGCACTTATCTATCAATTTAAGCTTTGTGTTAATGTAATAACAGAACCAGGTTAACTAAGTTTGAATCCTCCTATTGCATGATCAAATTTAGAACAACAAATTTACTTTTTTTTAAGAATCCAGCTCACATGAAATGTAAATGGGGATAATCTTAAAGTAAAACTCACCCATATGCATCAACAATCTCCTGAAAAGCAGAAGTAAATTTGTTTGTGCGAAAATAGGTCGGTGGTGCTTCCTTTGTATGCAAAACCTGGAAAATGGCTCCAACTTGTGAGTTGGAGTCAAATGCAGCCCGATTCAGTGCTTCCTGAATCTGCAGAGATGAGGTCAAGTTTTGTTTGTGAGTAATCAACACAGTATCTTTCAAGTAGATCAATACTATAATTTAAGCTGAACCACTGTGATCTCTGCTGAGAGCTTGTAGAAACAAAAGGGAAAGCATTTACCTGCTTTGTGGCAAAAACAGGACTCCACCCCTCAGCCACAAGACACTTTTTTGTCACATCAAGGCTAAGCATGTTCAAAGTGTGATAGATGGATTTCTCCTTCTTCACCTTCACGAGTTCAAAACAAAATATCAATAAATGATTGAACACAATCTCAATCACACAAATTTAGCATGCTGTACGCATTAAATTGATCAAATCTAATGTAAAGAACAGAAAGATGAAAAAAGGTTCACAAAGTAATAAAATATTTGACAGACCAAAAGGTTCCACTGCTCAAATTGGTCTCCAATAGTTTGCAACAAATTGCCACGGTGAAGCAGCCCAGCATCTATAGTAGTCTTCAGTTCTGAAAGTCTTCCTGAAACCTAAAATTTGAACAAGTGAAAAGTTCAGTTCTCTGCCTGAAGGATATGAATGCAATTATCATACTTGAACATATTATATTTCTCTAAAGAGATAGAATACTTAGTAAGCACATCACAACCTGATTTCCTGCCACTTCTTTAATTCCAAGTCCCAATATGATTCTTATTCAAGAACATCAAGAAAAGATATAGACTCATCTTATTCTAAACACTCACTTATAAATAGCAAGTCTTTATTTTAGAAGCAAAATACTATGTAAAATTTAATGCCCCAATATATAAGAAAAAGAAACACTAAAACAATCAAGCACCAGTCCTGGTCAAGGACTGCATTAAAAAAAAAAAAAATTTGCAACAGCATCAAACTAGAGTGCATTGCATACCTCTGTGATTCCCTCAGCTTGTTTCTCCAGGTCTTCAGAGAAAGGATATCGATTTGCCCCAAAAGCTTCACAAATTTTCAGGATTTTGTTCTTCACTCTTTCTCCAGAATAGAAAATCACAAATACATTTTTNATGAACATACAATTATTATATAAGTTCACATCAGCCACATGCACACGGAGTGTCTGCATAATAAATACACATACAAACACAATACCCAGAAAGAAATCCATAGGATAATTATCTCCGGAAAAAGATTGAACTGAGACTATTAAGATGAGAATGCATATAAGATTCTATTAAGAGTATACTAAATATCCTCTACACTTCATATAAATCAGAAACTCATAGTACTTAAATATGCAAACACACAATGAAGACTGTCCCCTTAGACTTCAGCATAGACCAGGAACTATTTTTCGGGAGCTTACTCTAAGTGTACCGACTGTTCTACAGCTTAACCTTTCTATGACATGTACTCCCACAATAATATTATAGAACAAAAGTAGGAGCTCCAATTGCAATATTCCACAAAGAGGCTGAGATGAGAAATATATATAGCCTTGAAATTTGAAGGAATCCTGCCCAAAAACTTTATTTATTTGTGGTTTTTCGTCTTTTTCAGGAGTTGTTGGCTAATTTGGACAAGTTATTATCCGATGGGGTTGCAAGATATTTCTCAACAGATGTTATGATCATTGAACATTGCAGAAGCTTTAAGGCCAAAGGAAGTCCTCTGTTGCATCTTGTCACAAGCCCAACAGGAACGTGCTGGACCTGATGTGAAGACAAAGTCTCACTTCCTCATCCAGCAGTAGTTCACAAGAGACCTATGACCTCATGCTTGGTACTTTTTGGGTTTTTTTATTTTTTATTTCCTTAGTGGACAATTCCCCAATAAATGGTATCAAGAAGGTGAAATAGATTCCTTCATTTGGGGCGAGCTAGGAGTTTATATACTATTGTTGGGCACTTATCTATCAATTTAAGCTTTGTGTTAATGTAATAACAGAACCAGGTTAACTAAGTTTGAATCCTCCTATTGCATGATCAAATTTAGAACAACAAATTTACTTTTTTTTAAGAATCCAGCTCACATGAAATGTAAATGGGGATAATCTTAAAGTAAAACTCACCCATATGCATCAACAATCTCCTGAAAAGCAGAAGTAAATTTGTTTGTGCGAAAATAGGTCGGTGGTGCTTCCTTTGTATGCAAAACCTGGAAAATGGCTCCAACTTGTGAGTTGGAGTCAAATGCAGCCCGATTCAGTGCTTCCTGAATCTGCAGAGATGAGGTCAAGTTTTGTTTGTGAGTAATCAACACAGTATCTTTCAAGTAGATCAATACTATAATTTAAGCTGAACCACTGTGATCTCTGCTGAGAGCTTGTAGAAACAAAAGGGAAAGCATTTACCTGCTTTGTGGCAAAAACAGGACTCCACCCCTCAGCCACAAGACACTTTTTTGTCACATCAAGGCTAAGCATGTTCAAAGTGTGATAGATGGATTTCTCCTTCTTCACCTTCACGAGTTCAAAACAAAATATCAATAAATGATTGAACACAATCTCAATCACACAAATTTAGCATGCTGTACACATTAAATTGATCAAATCTAATGTAAAGAACAGAAAGATGAAAAAAGGTTCACAAAGTAATAAAATATTTGACAGACCAAAAGGTTCCACTGCTCAAATTGGTCTCCAATAGTTTGCAACAAATTGCCACGGTGAAGCAGCCCAGCATCTATAGTAGTCTTCAGTTCTGAAAGTCTTCCTGAAACCTAAAATTTGAACAAGTGAAAAGTTCAGTTCTCTGCCTGAAGGATATGAATGCAATTATCATACTTGAACATATTATATTTCTCTAAAGAGATAGAATACTTAGTAAGCACATCACAACCTGATTTCCTGCCACTTCTTTAATTCCAAGTCCCAATATGATTCTTATTCAAGAACATCAAGAAAAGATATAGACTCATCTTATTCTAAACGCTCACTTATAAATAGCAAGTCTTTATTTTAGAAGCAAAATACTATGTAGAATTTAATGCCCCAATATATAAGAAAAAGAAACACTAAAACAATCAAGCACCAGTCCTGGTCAAGGACTGCATTAAAAAAAAAAAAAATTTGCAACAGCATCAAACTAGAGTGCATTGCATACCTCTGTGATTCCCTCAGCTTGTTTCTCCAGGTCTTCAGAGAAAGGATATCGATTTGCCCCAAAAGCTTCACAAATTTTCAGGATTTTGTTCTTCACTCTTTCTCCAGAATAGAAAATCACAAATACATTTTTCTCTACCTGCTCATTGGCATTAACAAATCAAAGAAGAAGCTCAAAGTGTTGTAAAAGAGATAAAAGGATAGGAGTGAATTAAATTCAAGGAGAATCTAGTAAATCCTAAATGTTCATGCATCAAAAGCTCAAAATAAGCATAATGCTAATGAGCATATCCTCATACTCAAACTGGAAACTAGACTACATTCTTTAACACTTAAACTAGAAAACTAGAATAAATTCAAAACCATATTGCGCGCATAAAACACACAAAACCATAACATTGTACATTTGAAAAAGACTAGCCTGAAAAGGCTCTGTTCTGAAAATATTTTCCTCTCAAAATGAGCATAGCTGCAAAGGGTCAACCACTACTACTTTCAGATTGTAGCAATTACAAATGCAGGCCAAAGCAAGTACTACATGAACTTGGGGGCTTGGACCATGTAGCAGCCACAGGATTGAAAAAGCCAGATTCAATTAATTGCGATTCTGGTAAAAGAAGCCTATGTGAATCTGTGTGCATTTTTGTACACATTATTTTTTTCTCTTTTTGGTTTTGCAATTGGAAACAAAGTATATTATTAACAAAAGAGATCAAAAGCATACATGTAAGTGGACTAGTAGTCAGAAAGGGGTCAATGAGGAAACCTGTAACTTACCTAAGATACTAGGTATAGAAAGGCCTAACTAGATGTTTGAAAACAATTGACAGAGCAGCCCCGAAAAACAGTTCCCAAAGAAAAGAAAACTAGAAGGTTAGGAGATTGCTGCTTCACAATTCAAATGAATGAAGAAAAAGGATATTATATTCAAGTCTGGACGCCCAGCTATATAATAAAAACAAAACAAAATTCTAATTACACACTTTCATCTTTTAGAAGTTTAATTTAATTAGAACCAAATATACTTGGTTTTATCAAAAATAATAATAATAAAAACATATACAAAATGTTTGCTGGGACTCACCTTCTCTCCAGAAGCAGGATCAATGACAGGTTCCTCAACAGCAACCTGCTTTAAGAATACATTACCCCTAGTAGCACGAAAAAGAATTCTCTCAAATGCCATAGATTTTTCTCTAGGAACAAGACCAGCAAGAAAACCCAATTGTATTTGCTTCGACAGATCCTATAAAACAGACAGAAAAATTGTCATGATGAAATATAGGAGCATACAGATGGCACCAGTAATCAGAAAAGAGAGAGAGAGAGAGAGAGAGAGAGAGGGAATTGGCGTCTGTACTTTCTCTTGTAATAAAGGTGTTTCAATGGACTCTTCAGCAGTTTGCCGCAATTCCATTCCTCTCTGCTCAGCTGTGACACTGCTTAGAGCTGAAGAAAAAAACTCACCAGCCTACAAGTTCATAGATGATGAATAAAATAAAAAAAATGAGACCATAGAGAATAACTGATCCAGCTTAATTAAGAAATTCAAGAAAACAAAAACAAACAGATTATTTAATGTTTAGCCAAAAAAAGCAAGGTAAAAAGAGTTGTTTCTGAGTAACATCCAAATCTTAATAACTCAACAATGATTGTTGAGAATTCAATATATGCCTCAACAACTTTCTAGAGCTTCACACATAGGCACAAGAGTCCACAGGACATAATGATTCAAAATTTAAAATAACAGGATGCTATTGCACAGCTCTTTCACAAATTTTCTCAACAAGGAGCACTGAGGGCTGAAAACAAAGCCGTACCAAGTATATCTATCCCTTTACAGGCATGTCACTTAATTGAAGTTGTCTAAACTTCAATTAAGTAGAAGAACTTATCATACTCCAAAGAACAAAAAGTAACTATTCCAATATTGTTAAAAACTTACCAACAAATTTTACCTAATTGATTTCTCCTAAGTGTTAGCAAGGAAACATTCTACTCTCTTTTCCATGCCCCATAATGAATTTTGTTGCTTACATTAATATCATAAAATCTATTAAACCAATTCGATTAGAATAGATGTTCATGATCTCATGTCATGTGTAACACAAGGCTTTAGAACTAGTACAATAATCCATGACTATGACAACAAACAAAGTTGTACCTTATGCAGAACGAGCTTGTATTCTACAAGTTCACTATATGAGCGTCGCAGTTTTTCTCCATTTGCATTCATTTCAACCAGCTCTGCCTCAAGTTCTCCAAGTTTTACCTAGCACACCAAAAACCAAAAAGGAGATCATGTATAACTGATTAAGTTACCGCCTTCATTTCCATTAAAAAAATAAAGATCATAACACACCTCTAGGTCATCTATATTGTTGTCAGCTCTTGTTGTAGACTTTATTGAAGGTGTCAAACCTGCTTTAAGCATTTGATCTTTGAAAAAACGTAACTTGCGCGCCATCTCCCCACATTTTTTAATCTTCAGAAGAAAGATAAATCAATAACAGATGACAGTACATCAAAATATTAAATTTCTATCCAATATCAAGGCAACTAAAAGAAAGATCATTAAACACTTAATGATTTAAGATTATTTTCGTTTTTGTTAATCATCGATACTTTGCACTTCAATATGACACAGAATAGCTAGAAGCATAGAAGATGAGAACTAAAAATAAAATATAATAAAAAAAAAAAATTAGCACAAACCTGAGCAGCATAAGTTCGTTGAAATGGACTCTTCTCCGCATTAAGCTGAAAGAATAAATAAATTGAACACACGACATGAGCCACATTCCAATATTCAAATCACAACTTCCCAATAAAAAAATAACTTCATAATCAGTCTCATCAACAAACAAAATTGCAAAACCACCAACAATTCTAGGGTATAACTCATTAGCACCAGTAAAGTACAAAAGCAGCAAAACATTCAATTCAACTCTCACAATCAACACAAATAAAAAAAAATTTCCAACAAAGAATTATCACCTAAAAAGACCTAGTTGAAACATCAAATTATTTAGAAAAATGGAAGTAAAATTCAAAATTAGAGAGAGTACGGACATCTTTGAACTGAACGAGGCCGAGTTCGCCGAGATAAGAGACAGTGACGTGAGCGGATTCGATAGGGATGATGATTTGGACCAATTGCATCGGCTCAGACCGGAACAGATCCATCGGCGGACAGCATCCGCCGCCTCCTCCTCCGTGACTCTCCGCCATTACCGCCGCAGCGTCCGATTCGATTCAATTGGATTCGATCAGGCTCTCTCAACTTGTGGCGGTATGCGGTCAGTAAAACACGCACACAGTTGAAAAAATAGAGAGAATATAGGTGATTGATGAATTATAGGAGAGAGAGAGAGAGAGAGACAGCAAAAATCGATTTGATAAGTAAAAGTTACGAATAATTACTTAATTAACACGCAAGCAAGAGGAAGGAAGCTCAAAGGGATGTCGTTTTGTTCTTCTCTCCTGTTACAGCCACAACTGTAGTGTCCACGTATTTGTTTTGGATTTTTGGGATTTCTCCTTCTGACACTCACATGACTTTGGTTGGATTTTAACTTATTACTGTTGTGTAGTACTAGAACCTTCTCAAAAACGACATGTCGTCTAACTGTTTCTACATTAAAAGAGCTAACTATTTTTTATCGGGGTGTTTAAAAAAAACCGATTAGAACTCAAAACGGCGGGTATCTGGGGCTTAGTTCTGGTTCCTATCCAGAATCAGTCATTAATAGAAAGATTTCAGTTTCAAATTTTTTGAATCGTTACTGTATAGTTTCGATTCCAAATTTTTGGAACCAAGACTAATATAAAATAAAATTAAAGAGTAGAAGAATTAATAAAAACTTTTGTAGAAAAAGTAATGTTAATACATTTATATTTATATTTCATAACATTTAAAGTAAGTTGGTTTGACTTTTGAGAATCTATTTTTACAAAGTAATGGAGTTTATAATTTTGAATTAATAATTAATAATTTTATTTTTGTTAACAAATGCCAGGTGGGGGGGTATTTGTAAGTTTTTAAGGGTTTTTTTGTTATTTTAAAAACTTTTGTGGGGGTAATTGTAATTTTACAAGGTACCCATAATCAGAATCAGAACCGTTGTTACAGGTTCCGGTTTAAGTTCCAAATTTCAAGGAATCGTCAGTTCCGGTTCCTTCAAAAAATGTAGGGTATCCAAAACCGAACACCTCTAATTTTTTTTCACTCAAACAATAGTTGAATGACACTTTCTCATCACTTTTAAAATACCACTTTATTATCAAAATTTATTTTCCGACCACGAATAAAGAACAAATTCGATCCAGACTGTTGAAGTTTATAAATAGTGGAGGCCAATGAGTTTTTTTTATAGTAAAATATTAAATTTTAGTGATTGAGATTGATTGAAATTTTACTTGAGAAGGACAGTTATGCAAACGCTAATAGCTCTATTGTTGACAATTGACAAAGTTAACGCAAATAAAATTTGAAAGGTTTTGACAAATGATGATCAATGACGAGAATGATGATAGCGCGAAGTCATAACAATACCAAATTCGAAAACAGAATATAAATTTAGATAATAAAATAGTATTTTAAAAATCCAAATTGAAAAAAGTCGTTTACTCTATGTTAAAACTGCTAAAACGTGTCGTATTAAACCCAGATTATTCCATTTTATACTTGGAGATTATGCTTCCTAACTGATTCTTAGCAGATGTTATGAGAGAACCCAGTTGTCTCTTTTTCTTATATTTTTTATTTTAAAGGGTTCCTGATATGGGTAAGATTTGTCTATAAAGGAGTCGTCACGGGAGATGGGATTGTACTCGGGGAATCATGATTCCGGTTGGCTCCTTTATGAGCCAACTAAAGGTAAATTCTAGTTTGGCATCGATACATAAAAAGGGTTTATGTGAAGAGGAATTTATAAGAGAATGGTGAACATTCTTGTAGCACTAAATTAAACATGGTAGCTAAACTGCAAAAATAACATATACAATCGTGATAATGTAATTGACACAGATTACAGTTCTCTTATAGTACACTAAAATTAACCGATAGGCACGCCGTGCAACAGTTTCTTGTCAACAAGTTAAGCTTTGTATATGTAGGCTTTCGCATAACGAGTTATCGATGAACTCTGATCATATTCTTTTCACACTGTCACCGTGGACGACTACAAATCCCTCGCTTGCAAGAGTTGTAAGTGCACCTCTCAGCTGAATTACACAAGAAGAGTAAGTATAATCATCAGTAAGTTCATTCTCTTCAACTCAGCTTGAGGGTGAGAGAAAGGGTGGTATATACTTACATCTTGAAGGTGAGGTTCACTTCCAGAACTCAGCTTCTTCAGCTCTTCCAGTAACTACAAATTGTTCAAGTTTTTTCAAGTGTTATTTTGTGGTTTTCATGAAATAAAAATACAATGAGGTTCACTTTAGGTAAATTAGCACACCTCCATCAAGCGCATTGAGGGTCCTCCAAGTTGCATCTTCTCCGCAATCAAGTTGCGTGTTGATGATACCAAATTATCACGTCTCATCCGTTCGCTTGCCGAAACTCCAGTGGTTATGAGATCCATGTCAATAGTTCCTTTAAGAAGAGTTAAAAGAATGTTATCAGATCTTGTTTATCTGGGTTGTAAACAAGATCAGGCCAAATGGTGATACAAGTGCTTTAAAAAAATTACCAGTAGAATGATCAGTAGCTGACTGTTGCATTGCAACTTCCAGGAGCCGAAATGCCTCCATTACATCACGCTTTTCAACCTGCTTGCACGATAACGTAAATTTATTATATTCATGTTGAACCACAGTGGCAGTCAAGAAACAAAAGGGCATGTAACACTAACCCATTCTGAGAAACGAATGCGAGCCAAGGCCTCGCTAAGGCGTATCAAACTCTCAATTTGCCTGGGTGTTGCTGTTATCACCTGTTCAATTACCAATCAAGACACATGAAACTATGAGGCACTTTTACAAATTTGAAAACCAGAAAGAATTTGTCTAAATCTAAATTGCGTTCAAAGCTTTATCAAGACACTATATTTGAGAAGCTCTAGAGTACAAGGCAGTAATCAAATTGAACAAGATATTTGCCATTACATCAGGAAATTATCAAAAACAAACCACCTTGAGAGCAAAGTCATCATGTGTAGGAAAGAAAAGACACAAACTCAGACCATAGATCATTCTTAATGCCCCTAAAGTTACTTCATTGAGTGTTATAACCTTTAGTTGTATATCAATGAATAAAAAGAGAATTCTTTGAATTTACTAGATTCATTATCAATTTTGTCAGAAAAGAAGACATGAAAACTGAAGCAGGGATTGTCGTAAATAGAAAATAGCACCAAACCTTTTTGCCACTGCCAGGGAAATTCCCTCTTCTTCTCATTTCAACATATCCTCGAGTTAACTCTTCGGCAGCTTCATCAGATAACTGTGGATGAATATGCTTTCGAGCATAGCTCACATATTCAGTTAACGTAGCAACATCTAGAACACCCTGCTCTGCACTCTGCAAGTATATACAAGTGATCTACTGATGAGTGAAAAAATTGCCAGATATGGGCCCTTTAACAAGAGAATTGTGACAGTTAACCAGACCTCAGGATTCTCAAAGTGTAAAGCAACAATGTGCTTGGCAAGACGTCTATCTGTCTGTTCATCAGCTTTGTCAAGAATTAAGTAGATCAAATCAAACCTGAGAAGGATCAATGGTCGAAGTGGTTCTATTAGAAATGGCCATCAAGTATTTTCAATAAATACTCTAGTAATAGTATGTATCGACACTTAACACAAAAGCACATGTCAATATACTACTAGTTGCATGGGATATAAATGATATCTTCTTACCTGGACAACAAGGTAGGAGGAAGGTGTATGTTGTCAATCACAGACAAGCGAGGGTTATATCGTGAACCACTAGGATTTGCACAAGCCAATACAGAAGTCCTGGCATTAAGGGAAGCAATTATTCCAGCTTTTGCTATTGAAACAGTTTGCTGCTCCATCACCTGGGAGAATTGAAGTCAAATTTAAAACATCCATCAGAAGATATAGCAGGGCTAAAATGCTGAAATATGTGAAAAGATTGATAAATGTATTTCTGAGGCAAAATGCCAAGTGTTATTTTCATGACAACATGCTTTACATCCCGTCATAGAATAATTTCTTATGTTCAATGAAGATTTCATATATTATTAGATTGAGGAAATCCCAAACAAGCACAAGCTCATGTTCCATGAAAAACACTTTCCTAGATGTGAATTATACAAGGCACAAAAGCTCAATTAAAATTGAGGAAAAGGAACCAACCTCGTGTAACATGCTCCTTGCATTCTCAGACATTTTGTCGAATTCATCAATGCAGCAGATACCTCTATCACTCAGAACCAAAGCCCCACTCTCCAGAACCTATGAATTAAGTCATTAATATAAGTGATAGCAGGATGAAAAGAGCGTAGAAAGATCACATAAAAGATGCTATCATACAGTTTCCCCAGTTTCAGGATCTTTTGTGACATAAGCTGTCAAACCAACAGCAGAGCTTCCCCTTCCACTCGTGTAAATGCCTCGAGGAGACAGTTTGTGTATATATTGGAGCAATTGGGACTTGCTGGTTCCAGGATCACCAACAAGAAGGATATTGATATCACCACGGAAGCTAGCACCTGACAGCAACTTCAAAGCACTCCCGCCAAAAAGCTACATTGAGGTCAATAAATTGGACATCAGTATTGAAGTGTAGAGTTATATGATATTAACTAACATATTGGAATCTCTAGAAAGCAGTCATTACATTCAGATGGCAAACTGTCGTAATACCTGGCAAAGAAGACCTTTTTTCACATCATCTAACTCCCAGATATTTGGTGCCAAAGACCTGGTCAGTGTTTCATATATATCAGGTTGTTTCGACAGCTCTTTCAATTGCTCTACCTGCGATATCAAAAAGCAAGTGCTTATTATATGAAACAGAAATTGAACATTTCCCTAAGGAGAAAGAGATATACCTTTGACTCATCAAATTGGATTTCTTCCTCAATTCTAGGTTGGCTATTATCAACTTCCATGTGGTCCTCTACCAGCATTCTTGATCTGTCCGCTTTCTTTATATGAAGACAGTCAATATATGTCTGCAATAAAAATAAGTAACTCCTCCATTCAGACCATATCAATATTAAAGAGACTCAAATGAAGTGGAAGAGCAGATAAAATATATACCTTAAATAATGATTTCACAGTTCTCTGTGTTGGCCCAACTCGGACACTCATAGCCCTGTAAATCCCAGTGACCTGTTCAAAAACAGAAAGAAATAATCAGACATTAAAATAATCAGGAACCTTTTTGTGATCATACCACAAGATATATTGGGGCTCCACCTCAACTCTGTCACCCGGCTTTCCGGCATCCACCAGCTTGTCATGCATCAACAAGCTCACTGTATGTGGTGTTCCACCCTCAGGGATCTCATCAGGTGTCTCCTGGAGCCTCACAATTTGCTTATCTGCAAACCTGAGTTTTGAAGCGGTAAGAGTGTTATTATATTCTCATAGTTTTGCTATAAACCATAAACTTCTGATTCAAAGTCTGTATTGTCTTAGGGTACAATTATGCCAATCAATTTAGCTTTTAGTAATAAGCATTGTACACTCCCACATCTCATACTATTTCAACATTTGTGTGCTGCATAGTGAAAGGAAATGCCAGAACAAACTCCTCAAAATATGAAAATCATTAAATTGAACACATTGATTAACTAGCTTAGTTCAAAGATCCCCACAATTTGCTCAAACATTCAGTCAATCAGCTTAGCAAAAACTAAAGCTTTGAGTTACCTGCATCGATTGTGCACCATTGTCATAGAGTTTTTTGCCATACACTCTTGTTTTGAGCATTGCATAGGCTCATTTATTCGTCCTGCTGACACACATAGGTCAAGCAAACAACATATAGTACAGAATTAAACCAATAAACAGAACAGTCAAAAGAATTTACCTCTATCTACCACAACGGGGTCTGAATAGTACCCACATACAAGACACCTAAACACCGCCTCCCTAATCTCTGGTATTATCAAACTACACCGAATAATCATCCCCTTCAACGAGACCATCTTCTCAATATCTAACCGAATAAAACCATAACAAAATTAGCCAAAATCTTCATTGCACAAAATTCAATAATAATTAAAAAAACTAACCTGATGGATTGAGATTTCGCATCGAAGTAGAGCTCTTCAGATTAAAAATCCTAACTTGCACGTGCTTGTCAAACAAAGGATTAATCAAACTAACAATATCCATCAACACAATGTCAAAAATGGCCAAAACCTCAAGAGGGTACCTAACCATTTTGTTATACAAATCACAATCATAATCAAACACATCATGTGCATCAACATCAATCCACTCTCCTTCCATTTCAAGAACCCTATTTATAGCCCTCATATACTTCCCTTCTCTATAAACTTCACTCTCACTACCACTCAACAACTCTGCACTCTCTCTAAAGTGCTTCAAAAACATCTGAATTGCCCCCTTCACATCTTGAACACTAATATTAGTGCCCCAAACGAAGGTAGGGGTAGTTTCGTCCATGTCGTCCCCGGCTTCTGAACTCGGTGGGGCCTCATCGGTCGAAGAAGGTGACGTGGCCGATTTTCGGTCGCCAGATCTACGATTGGAACGAGATGGAGTTGTGGTTGGGGTCTCTGCTGACGAGCCGAAGCGGGAGTGGTTGGCAGGTGGAGTAGTTGCAAAGGCTGAGGGTGTTGAGGACCGGCGCCGTCCACCACGACGGCCGCGACGAGGGCGTGAATTGTTGGCTGGTGATGAAAATGTATTGTCGATTGGAGTCGAAAACGAGTCGTCCGGGGAAGACGGACCTGAAAAAAAAAAAAAAATTAGAAAAAAAAAAAAAAAGAAGTTAAGAATAAAGAGTTACGCGATAAGTAAAGATGAAGTGTTTACCGCCATTGTTGAAGTCGGCGTGATCTGAATCGGAGGCCATGGGGACAAAGAGCGAGCCGGAGAGAGAGGGATTGGGAGTTGGACAGCAGAGGGGAATGAGGGCACAAATTGTTTGTTGAGACGATTTGGCGGGAAATAGCTCTGTGTTTGGCGCCATGTTACCATGAAAACCGAACGGGCCGGGCGAATGGTAAATGGTCAACTGAGCCCATCTTAAATGAGCCTAGGACAATCTAAAGAGGAAACGGGCAGCCCGTCTTGAGGATGGCCCAGCTCAGCCCATAAAATTATTCTTATTTATTTGATTTTTCTTTTTAATAATATGTTTTCTAGAGAAAAAAAATTTTATATAATATGCATAAAATAGATTGTTGTAAAATATTATATTATGCGATGGCTTATTATCATTTTTTATTCTTTTTTTAGTAATCGTACCAAGTTAGTTTACGTGCATCTTGATTAATATCTAGCGCACAATCATAAGTAAGGTGTTCGGGTCATTTTACGCGTATCCGACTCGTACGTTTATCGATACTATTTCCAATTTGTTTTAACTATATGGACTACTCACGAATGATACTTTCTTTTTTTATATCTCAATCAATAATATTTATGATATGGAAGTAAGTCAACCCACTATTTGAGTGATATCTAGGCATGGCAATGCGGTGGGGATCTCATTCACCGTACCCATCCCCGCCTTCGAAAATACTCCCCACCGCATCCCCGTCACGGGATGAAAAAATTCCTCTTCCCGCCCCATAGGGAAATGTTGGAGGCCTATCCCCGCCCCGTTAATTTTACATAATCCTAAATTAATTTGAGTATTACCATACAATGTTAATCTCATCCACATGACAATCATTTAAACTAGATAATTTTACATATATATGGGTAGGGATTGTTCTTGTTCATTGTTTAGGGTGAGGAAATTGGAAAAATATGGGTTTATATAGCTAGATAATTGTGTAATTAGGTAAATATAGAGTATTAATGAAAGTAGAAATATATATAATTTATATATATATTTTATATATATATATTATATAATATATATATATATATATATATATAATTATTTTATGTATTATATACAGGATGGCGGGGCAGGGCAGGGCGGGAAAAACCGGGGCTTCCCCGTCGGTCCCCTAAATTTTTGGGAAACATTGCCATGCCTAGTGATATCTTAGGGTGCGTTTGGCTTATTATTTCTGGTCGGCAATTTACCGATCTGACGTTTTCCAGCCAGATCCAGTGGTTCGGGCTGGAAAAGGCCAAATCTGCGTCAATGTGGCCAAAGAAATGGCCATCGTTATGACAATGAGTCATATCTTGGCTGTCGCTGACGCCAAAGATGGCCTTCTGGTCTTTTCTGGTCAGATCCGTGTTGGATCTGGCCTTTTCTGGTCAGATCCGTGGTGAATCTGGCCGGAAAAGGCTATAGTGACGCCAAACGGCCAGATCCGGCTGGTATGTGTGGTTATGCAATTTCCGCCAGATTCCAATGTTGGTGGTCGGAATCTGGCACTGCAGGTGGTGAGTCTTTTTGTCATTTTACATGTTTTTATATATTTGGGTATTTATTAAATTAGCAAACTTAGGGGGTTTTTTTATAATTTTTTAATTTTATCTAGTAATACCCCAATTTAATTATCTATAATATCCACAAAATCCTATCCAAAATAATAAACCAAATGCACCCTAATTGCAAATCTAGCTATAGGTCCATTGTTCTTTCTTTTCTCAACTAATCAGATTTTGTTTCCTTTGTATGTCTATAGCTAGCTTATAAAGGCTTTATTGTAAAGTGGAATGATTATGATGGGGGCTTTGAAAATGGTGAAGGTGATAACTGATAACACTCCTGAGACCCCTCGAAATTAGGGAAATGGTAAGGGTTTTTTCAGTAATCAAGGTGTCCATGTCAAGCCCGGGCCTTGGAGGAGGGCCCAGTGGAGGGCCCGAGCCCTCCTCCTTAGGCTTGGTCTCATTTTGGGACCAGCCCTCCTAGGACCGATCCTCTTAAGGATCGGTTTTAGGATCGGGTTTTAGAGCTGGGCTTTTGGGCCCGGTCCCAAATACCTAGCTCTAACGATGGCCATATCTTTGGCTGTCGCTGACGCCCAAAAGATGGCCTTCTTTGGCCTTTTTTGGCCATCGACGGCCACATATGGCTGTAGATCTGGCCGGAAAAGGCCATAGCGACGCCATAACGGCCAGATCCGGCCGGTATGTGTGGTTATGCAATTTTCCTGCCAGATTTCAGCGGTGGTGGTTGGAATCTGGCATTGCAGGTGGTGGTTGGAATCTGGCATTGCAGGTGGTGGGGGTCTTTTTGTCATTTTACATATTTTTATATATTTGGGTATTTATTAAATTAGTAAACTTATAGGGTTTTTTTATAAATTTTTAAATTTTACCTCGTAATACTCCCATATTCAATTATTTAATACTATCCACAAAATCCTATCCAAAATGATAAATCAAACGCACAATGTTCTGAAAACTAGATCGGACAATGACCTGTTCAAGGGTCCGGTTTTTGATTTGACCGGTTGGACTGTAATTTGTAAAATTACATTTTAGTTTCTAAAAGTTTGAAATTCATCAAAAACACCCCTATAATACTCCCTTAAGGTTTGAAATCTATCTAAAACACTCCTGTCGTGCGAAGATTCTGGTGAGTATGGCGGCAGCGACAATCGACGGCCAATCGAAGCTGGAATCTTGGGGCTTTTGATGTGCAGGTGCTGGCGACTCTGATGGTGGTGCGACGGAGTTCCATCGGCGTCGGAACTCGTCGGAATCAATGAAAGAAATCTGACGTCGCGTAAAGCCGTAAACTTTAGGTGGACGACGATCGACGAAGGCTGGACGACGGCGACTGAAAATGGATGGGTTTGGTCGTGGAAATGCCGTCCTTCGAATGAGGGTGTTTTCTCCGTCAAAAGATGCTGGAATCCGAAGGCGATTGGACCTCGATTTGTGTAATATCCCACTTGAGGTACGTATTTAAGATTTGTCGTATTAGCTAAAAGTTTATTGTTTTAACTTAAATTGAGTTGTATGTTGAGTTGGTTGAATTGTTGCCTGAAGATTTCATAATTATTAGATGAGGAAATCCCAAACAAGCACAAGCTCATGTTCCATGAAAAAACACTTCCTAGATGAATTATACAAGGCACAAAAAGTCATTAAAAATGAGGAAAAGGAACCAACCTCGTAACATGCTCCTTGCATTCTCAGACATTTTGTCGAATTCATCAATGCAGCAGAACCTCTATCACTCAGAACCAAAGCCCCACTCTCCAGAACCTATGAATTAAGTCATTAATATAAGTGATAGCAGGATGAAAAGGAGGTAGAAAGATCACATAAAAGATGCTATCATACAGTTTCCCCAGTTTCAGGATCTTTGTGACATAAGTGTCAAACCAAAGCAGAGCTTCCCCTTCCACTGTGTAAATGCCTCGAGGAGACAGTTTGTGTATATATTGGAGCAATTGGGACTTGCTGGTTCCAGGATCACAAACAAGAAGGATATTGATATCACCACGGAAGCAGCACCTGACAGCAACTTCAAAGCACTCCCGCCAAAAAGCTACATTGAGGTCAATAAATTGGACATCAGATTGAAGTGTAGAGTTATATGATATTAACTAACATATGGAATCTCTAGAAAGCAGTCATTACATTCGATGGCAAACTGTGTAAAACTGGCAAGAAGACCTTTTTTCAACAATCTAACTCCCAGATATTTGGTGCCAAAGACCTGGTCAGTGTTTCATATATATCAGGTTGTTTCGACAGCTCTTTCAATTGCTCACCTGCGATATCAAAAAGCAAGTGCTTATTATATGAAACAGAAATGAACATTTCCTAAGGAGAAAGAGATATACCTTGACTCATCAAATTGGATTTCTTCCTCAATTTCGGTGGCTATTATCCACTTCCATGTGGTCCTCACCAGCATTCTTGATCTGTCGCTTTCTTTATTGAAGACAGTCAATATATGTCTGCAATAAAAATAAGTAACTCCTCATTGACCATATCAATATAAAGAGAATCAAATGAAGGAAGAGCAGATAAATATATACCTAAATAATGATTTCACAGTTCTCTGTGTTGGCCCAACTCGGAAACTCATAGCCCTGTAAATCCCAGTGACTGTTCAAAAAAGAAAGAAATAATCAGACATTAAAATAATCAGGAACCCTTTGTGATCATACCACAAGATATATTGGGGCTCCACCTCAACTCTGTCACCCGGCTTTCCGGCATCACCAGTTGTCATGCATCAACAAGCTACTGTATGTGGTGTTCCACCTCAGGGATCTCATCAGGTGTCTCTGGAGCCTCACAATTTGCTTATCTGCAAACCTGAGTTTTGAAGCGGTAAGAGTGTTATTATATTCTCATAGTTTGCATAAACCATAAACTTCTGATTCAAAGTCGTATTGTCTTAGGGTACAATTATGCCAATCAATTTAGCTTTTAGTAATAAGATTGTACACTCCACATTCATATATTTCAACATTTGTGTGCTGCATAGTGAAAGGAAATGCCCGAACAAACTCCTCAAATATGAAAATCATTAAATTGAACAATAGATTAACTAGTAGTTCAAAGATCCCCACAATTTGCTCAAACATCAGTCAATCAGCTTAGCAAAAACTAAAGCTTTGAGTTACCTGCTACGATTGTGCACCATTGTCATAGAGTTTTGCCATACACTCTTGTTTTGAGCATTGCATAGGCTCATATTCGTCCTGCTGACACAAATAGGTCAAGCAAACAACATATAGTACAGAATTAAACCAATAAACAGAACAGTCAAAAGAATTTATCTATCTACACAACGGGGTCTGAATAGTACCCACATACAAGAAACCAAACACGGCCTCCCTAATCTCTGGTATTATCAAACTACACCGAATAATCATCCCCTTCAACGAGACCATCTTCTCAATATCTAACCAATAAAACCATAACAAATTAGCCAAAATCTTCATTGCCACAAATTCAATTAATAATAAAAAAACTAACCGATGATTGAGATTTCGCATCGAAGTAGAGCTCTTCAGA